AGTCCAAACCAATTGTGATAAACATTAAACAAAAGTTTATCTTTTAACCCTTTAAATGTTGCTACTTAAAAATGTATTGCAGATGTACTGTGTTTCCCCGAAAATAAGACAGGGTCTTATATTAATTTTTGCTCCAAAAAACGCATTAGGGCTTATTTTCAGATTTTTTTTCCATGTACGACAATCTACATTTATTCAAATACAGTCATGTCATCTTCTGGTTGCTGGAGGGCGGGGTTTCACTTAACTAGGGTGTATTTTTGGGGTAGGTCTTATATGACGAGCATCCTGAAAAATCTCATACTAGGGCTTATTTTCAGGTTAGGTCTTATTTTCAGGGAAACAGGGTACAAATATGCATATAATGATTATAATTATGCATTGATATTGACAAGTCTTTGGGTCCAAGTCCCACATCTGAGTCCAAGTCTTTGGTGCGAAATCTCAAATCCTAAGCCCCACGTCCGAGTTCCTATCAAAAACAAGTTTTTCCCCCTTCAAAAAAACGAAAAGGGGTGGGTGGACCCCAAGTCATTAAAAAGAAAAAACCCACCCAAGTTGAGTCGCCGGTGCGTCTTAAGTCCAACTTGAGAGCAAGTCCTGCAACTCAACTCGCCATCTCTGTAAATACGTATCATCAAGTTGATTCTGATGGCAAATCTCCCAGGATTTTCAAGATATAACTTGTTCAGAAGCACTGTAGTTTACCATCCCCTCTTTCTGCTGATGCTAGTCCAAGGACATGTAGGAGTCAAGGCATGTAACACCATTAGTCACACACACTTTTGGTGCTCTTCAATAGCTCCACTCCTTAGAAGGACACTGAGTATTCAAACTCCCAGCCACAAACAAGTGCTCCAACCCGCTGATCTATATCATCTCACTAACAGAAAAACAAACATAAACGCCCATTCTCAATAAATCATTCATTAGCAATACATTCCACAGACCAGAGTGTTAAGTGTATTGATCTAAAGGGGAGTGTTTGTGACACCTTAAATCGGAGGGGGGGCGGGGAACCACATTCCGTGTGCAAGATTCAGAATCAGAATTGGGTAATGCCATTCATGGACCACCAACACCTCATAAAAATATATGCAAAGCTGAGTACCATGAAAGATGGAGTGGGTTTTTCACTATCAATCCAGGATAATTTTGGACATTTTTGTTTCTCCTCCTACTCCCAAGTTCTCCAGTGCCTGACTGGAGAAAGAGTCCTGCAAGACTCAGAAGTTCACATTTAATGTATTGGCCAACCTTGTAAGATTAGGAGGCTTATTATGTAAATATTAATGGACAAAAATCTGAAAAGTTATCATTATGGTTGTCGAGTGTTACCACATTGCTTCCAATTTACAGTGGTGCTTTGAATTAGGGACTCTCGAAAGATCCTATGATTACTGTAAAAGCCTTGTGTGGGTCTTGTAAACTCATGGCCATGGCTTCAGATTGAAATACGTGTATATCCCCATCTGCACACATAGTTGGGAAGGTGAAAAGAAAAAAAATTACATATATTCCTCCATCACATACCATCTAGTTCAAAGCCAGCTGACACTGTTATTCACTGAGAGTACAATTCCATTTGCAAGTGTATTTCTGAGTAGACATGCATAAGACTGTGCTCTTACTGGGCATTAAGTGTTTCTAGACAGAGTCTGCTGCTGGTCACTGTTAGCATAGTCCACCTTTTTTCCCCCTTAAGGAATTTTCTCTGGTAAAAAAAAAAAGATGGACAAAACAGAGAAAAATGTGGGAACTGTAAACTTGACAGGGCAATGTTGGACTAGGACTTGGCAGACCTGAGCTCAAATCTCTGCATCACCCTGAAACTAGCTGGTGTCCTTGGGCCAGTGACACACACTCAACCTGATATATTTCAAATTGTTGCAGTTATGAAGTGGAAGACAGCCAAGTACGTTGCCTTGAACTCAATAGAGGGAATATGCAATATGAATGTAACAAATAAATGGATAAGTAATAGAACCCCCACAATGGGATACACTGAAAGGGTAGTCTAGAATCACCCTTAAATGTAATAACATACTGTATTAGATTTCATTTATCAACCCTTAATTCAGTATTGTTACTTTTGAGAAGAGAAATGCATCCTATTCATTTATTTAATGTTTATATCACTCAGTCAGTGAAAAGCCTCAGCAAAGGCTGAGGCAAAGAGGCAGTCCTGAAACCAGCAAAATCAGGGAGCTGGACAGGGGACAGATGATATTTGTCTTCAGCGTGGAAGGGATGGTCACTCTCGAATTGGCCTTCTGAGCCACACTAGACACTGTTCCAAGTCCTCCATATAGAGTACATTACCCTAGTCTCTCGAGACTGAAGGATGCCTACTACAGTGATATACCACTGCCCTGGGAGGTTTACAACAGTTAAAATGTCCCAACTACCATCCCGGTCATCAAACAATAAAATTAATCTTGAACACAAACAGCAGCAATCATAAAGACTGCAACAATCAAGCTATGTGCTGGCAAGTGAAGTAGATAATTTCTGCCCAGAGAACTCGAAAAGAATCATGATTTTCAACTAATTTAAACTGTTTAAATTTATTTTGTGAATTTATACTGTACTTATATTGTATTTTATCAGGCCTTTGGCTGTAGAATAAATTTGTTGCTCTTGGTAATATAAATGAGAGTCAACAGAAAAACAAAAATATAGGAAAAATATTACAAAAGTCATCTTTAAAGAGCTCCACCTTAACTAGCATGCAAAAGGCATGGAGGGAGAGGGCACAGGCAGCAGTTCCCTGGGAGAGACATTTCAACAGGTACTAAAGATTTTTCAAAAGTTTAAAATGTTTTAAAATTATTTTTGAAACATTACTGTCTAGATGCATTGATTGGCTTATTACAACAAAGCAAAACTATCATAAACACACTATAATGTATTATAGAATCATAGAATTATGGAGTTGGAAGGGGCCTATAAGGCCAACGAGTCGAATCCCCTGCTCAAGGCAGGAATTCTAATCAAAGGATATCTGCCAGGTCATTGTCTAAATTTCTCTTGAATGCCTCCAGTGTCGGAGTAGTTGGTTCCATTGGTGTACTGCTCTAACACTTAGGAAGTTTTCCCTGATATTCAACTGAAATCCGTCTTCCTGTAACTTGAGCCCATTGTTGCATGTCCTGCACTCTGGTATGATCGAGAACAGCTCCTGCTCCTCTGCAGGAATACAGTATTTGAAAAGTGCTATCATATCAGCTCTAAGTCTTCTTTTCTCAAGGCTAAACATGCCCAGTTCTTCCAATCTTTCCGCAGAGAGCTTGGTTTCCAGCCCCTTGATCATCCTTGCTCTAAACTTGCTTCAATTTGTTGGAACCCTTCTTGAAGTGCAGTGTCCAGAACTGCACATAGAACAGAAGATGAGGCACAACCAGTGCTGAATAGAGGGGAACTAGTACCTTGTGGATTTTGGAGACGATACTTCCGTTAATGCAACCTAAAATAGCATTTGCCTTTTTTCAATCTAAATCAAAGTATATCTGACAGATGGTTGTCTAATTTTCTCTCATCTAATCATGTGTCACTGCAATATGGACATCTGGCCTTCATTAAAGCTGTCATTACGTTGTTTTCCAGAATATAGCATCTTCCCCAAAATGGGCATCTCAGTATAGTTTGTGTGGAAGTATTGCTGCTTTGTTTAATCACCTCCATCTAGTCATGTTCCACCAATGAAAATGAAGTATCATTTTGCAGGTTTTCCATTTCAATGAAGAAAAAAGCCTGACTTGGCCCTCTGCAGATTAGCCATTTGCCTCACGTGATGCCCCAGATCTTGGTAACAGGCTTGGAGAAGGAAAACACAAAGTTGGTATCTTTACATCCATTAAACAGGAGAGTGAAATTAGGTGTTGCACAAGGTTTAGGAGCATATTGCAGCCAAACTGTGAGTTTTATTTAGTGATCAGAGGAGATGAAATCCTCACTTGCATGCAGGCTCATGGAAAAGACTTTTCATCAAGGAAAGTTACAGCTAAGGTGATATGAAATTTTAATTTCATCTTCAGTGAGAGGAAGCCCCTGCAAATTAATACCAAGAGTTCTATGCTGCCTTCCTAGCAGTTTGACTACACGGGTCTTGTGCATCACCTCTGGCACAATTTTTGTTCCTCAAACCTCAGGTTTACACCAGCTTTCCTGAGAATCCGAAAACTTGATTTATGTGTAACTTATTGGGGGGTCCTTACCCCAAACGCAAGTTCCACTATGCCAAATCACTGGCCACGTTACCTGAGCCACAGATTCCCACCCTAGAGACTATGATGATGGCTTCAGGCCAGGGATACCAAGGGAGCTTAAATCGGATATTATTAAATTGCCCTTTAGTTTCAGTAAAGTCTATTCTAAGCACCAATCAGCATGGATCTGACACTGTGCGGCTGGCAGACCCAAAGTGGCACAGGGATAAAGGGAAGTGGCAGTTCATCAATCTACACAGCCTTCCAGGCAGAACCAGCCACACAACTCAGCAATTACGCGCCCGCAGGCATGGAAAAAAATATCTACACACATGGGAGGAGGGTTCGATAGTTCGACACTCCTCCGCCTAGCCTGGAACGAGAAGCGGAGCCGAGCCCTGATCGACGACTCCGCCTTCGATGGATTTGGCCTTTCCTTTCCTGCGACTGTCCGCTCAGTTGGATCGTTTTTCTTTATCCCCCGGCCCTTAACACTTAACGGAGAAGCCTCTCGGCCCGAGTGGGCACCCACGAGCCCGTTCAGCCTCATCCTTTAATTAAACAAACGAATGAAGGAACGTTGACTAGGCTGAGGCGAGCGCCCACGGCGCATGCGCCCCTGCCCGCTCCTCAACCCCGCGCGCGAGTACTACTGTACTGTACCCTCCTCAGAAAACAGGCGGAGGGGGAGGGGGCGGGAGGAGGAGAATGCGCACGCGCGGCTCGGTGGGGAGCGTGAGGTCGAGGGAAGCGCGGCGGCAGCTGGCCTCGCGCGCATGCGCTGGGGGGGGGGCGCGCGCGGCCTCGGCGCGTCCTATTTGTCTCCCTCTTCCTCCTCCCCCCCGACCCCTCCCCGTCCCGCGCTCGCCGGCCCACGCGCCTTGCCCGTTATTACCTGAGGCGCTGCAACCGCCACGGGTGGGGGAGGGGAAGGGAAAAGGAGGAGGAGGAGGCGGCGAAGGCGCGGAAGGTGAAGGCGGAGCGGAGCGAAGATGCCGGGGAAGCTGAAGGTCAAGATAGTGGCGGGGCGGAACCTGCCTGTCATGGACCGAGCCAGCGACCTGACCGACGCCTTCGTGGAGGTCTGACGGGGCGGAAGGGGTCCCTCAGGCACGGCCTGGTGACCACTTGAGGACCTCTGGGTGCCTCTTTCCCTCCCTGACGGGTTTAGGCTACCGTTCCCATCATCCCCAGCTCCCACCATCTCCTCTGACGGGGAGGAAGGGTTCCCTCAGGGGCCGTCCGGTTACGACTGAGGATCTTTGGGTGGCCCTGGCCTTCCCTGAGGTACCGCCATCCCGAGGGGGAGGTTTTAGGCTACACCTCCCATCATCCCTAGGTGCTGGGGGATGATGGGAGTTCTAGCCTGACACCCCCCTCCTCGGGAAGGCGGAGGAAAAAAGGTGGCGTGAAACTTGTCCCGGCGAGCCCCGATCGTTTAGACCTTTATTTTTCTCCCGTTCCCTTCCTAAATGGATCACAAGGAGGCATGCGTGGGTGTTAACACCCTCACTGCCGCCTCCTCCGGTGTCACAACAACCCTTTGAGGTAGCTGGGACCTAGTAGGCCAGGAGCTGGAAAAGAGGGAGATTCAGATCCTCCTCTCTTGACATTGTCCTGTTTCTTCTTCTTCTTCTTCTTTTTTTGAAATGTCGTTTATGGGTCCTGATTTTAAAAAGAAAGCTCTCCTTATTCGGTCATCCATAATAGTGGGATGTGGGCTTTGTAGGTTGTGTCAAAACCTGTGTTTTGGAACTTGGCGTGGTGTCTTAGGGCGGTCCTAACCGAAATGACTTTAAAATGTTGTGATTGTCAAAGCAGTGAGCATGCAGAAGAGCTTCCATTACTTTGTGGTAAAGCAGAATAGGACCCATGTATGAACATTGCTGGGTTAAAACATTTATGTGATGGTGTTTTTAATTGTTCTTTTTATTCACCACAGTAAGCCTTCAAAAAAAGCATAGCTTGCAAACGATATGAGAACTCTATATATATGCCAGAGTGTGAGGTACCAAGTTGGACAGAGTAACCTATATGGATAGTTCAGTAAATCTGTGTTCAGCGTTTGCCTGGAACTGTGAAGGTGGGAGATGTCAAGTATCCCACAAGGCATGACTTCTGAGTTTTGGAAGTCATCTCGTCATATTTCTTCATGGCTGATGTAGGGCCTGGATTTGTTGACCCATACTGTGGCCACTTCTGGTATAGCCAATGAGAGGAGCTACTGCAAATCCTGTTTGGTAGCACATGTATTATAGAGCCAATCTCATTTTCCTGGTGTATGTGACCTGAAATAATTTGTTTCATCTCTAAGTACAGTATAGAGATTTATAGCTTATATATATACCATGTGAGTGTCTGTGTAAAAAAAGAAGGCAAGGTTGCCTCTAGTGTGATTCATTAAAATCCACATGAAAAAAATCTTTGTCATGCAGTTGTAAAAAGTGCACATGACTGCTGACATCTGACATAGTACAGTAGTAGGTTTGGTTTAACAGTTTTGTAACATGTTAAGCAGTTACAAGATGGATTGATTTTCTCAATGAGAAATGTTACTGATTCAAAATTTTGTGTACTGCAGGCTTTCTTTTTATTAGTTCTTTTGTTGTTTAGTTGTTAAGTCTAAGTCTTTGTGACCCCATGGACCAAAGCACGGCAAGCCCTCCTGTCTTCCGCTGCCACCCGGAGTTGGGTCAAATTCATGTTGGTAGCTTCAATGACACTGTCCAACCATCTCGTCCTCTGTCGTCCCCTTCTCCTCTTGCCTTCACACTTTCTCAACATCAGGGTCTTTTTCAGAGGGTCTTCTCTTCTCATGAGATGGCCAAAGTATTGGAGCCTCAGCTTCAGGATCTGTCCTTCTAGTGACCACAGGGTTGATTTCCTTTAGAATGGACAGGTTTGTTCTCCTTGCAGTCCAGGGGACTCTCAAGAGTCTCCTCCAGCACCACAATTCAAAAGCATCAATTCTTTGCAGTCAGCCTTCTTTATGGTCCAACTCTCACTTCCATATATCACTAATGGAAAAAACATAGCTTTAACTATGTGGACTTTTGTCGGTAAAATGATATCTCTGCATTTTAAAGATGCTGTCTAGGTTTGTCATCGCTTTCCTCCCAAGAAGCAGGCATCTTTTAATTTCACGGCTGCTGTCCCCATATGCAGTGATCATGGAGCCCAAGAAAGTAAAATCTGTCACTGCCTCCATATCTTCCCCTTCTGTTTGACAGGAGGGCGATGGACCAATGGCCATGATCTTAGTTTTTTTTATGTTGAGCTTCAGACCATTTTTGCACTCTCCTCTTTCACCCTCATTAAGAGGTTTTTTAATTCCTCCTCACTTTCTGCCATCAGAGTGGTATCATCTGCATATCTGAGGTTGTTGATATTTCTTCCTGCAATCTTAATTCTGGCTTGGGATTCCTCCAGTCCAGCCTTTCGCATGATGTATATAAGTTCAATAAGCTGGGAGATAATATACAGCCTTGTCGTACTCCTTTCCCAATTTTGAACCAGTCAGTTGTTCCATATCCAGTTCTCACTGTTGCTTCCTGTCCCACATATAGGTTTCTCAGGAGATAGACAAGGTGGTCAGGCACTCCCATTTCTTTAAGGACTTGCCATAGTTTGCTATGGTCCACACAGTAAAAGGCTTTTGCATAGTCAATCATTTTATTAGTTCTAGATTCATGTTTTTTCAACACTGAGAGTTTGGTATTTCGTGTATACATAAAAACATTACTTTTAGTATTTTACTGAATCTTTATGTGAATAATATATTGAAAATAGATTTTGTGATACAAGCAATGCAGTCACCCTGAAGTTGTTTGATAAACATTTTTGGTGAACAGGAGTCAAAAAGAGATACAAGAATTTGTGTCTCTACATCCAGCTAGTGGGAGAAATGCTTATGGTTGTGATTTGACATAAGGAAACATTTCCAACTTCAAGAATTGCTTTGCAAGCTATAGTATTGAAGGTGTGGCTTCTTAAATAGTGCAGGGATAAAGATATTTTTAGAATGTTTGCCACCTTTCCCCTTCAAAGCCTCTGTGCTTTTAGCAGCTTTGTGATATGCTGTCATTGGAACAGGTGGAGCTGCTGTCATTATGGAATCTCCATAGCCCCAGTCAGGTGCTGTAGAATCCAGGCTTTTGAAATGCATCAAGGAGAGTGCTTTCAACTCCTGGTCTGAAGAGGAAATGTCATGTGTAGGCTCTTCTCATGGTCAGAACTCCAAATTTTCCAGGGTATTTTGCTCATGTGAAAAGCTTATATGTTTTCCAAATACAGTACAGTGGTGCCTCGCATAACGTTTGCTTCGTTTAATGTTTTTTTTGCTTAACGTTTATGTTTTCAGAGTCAGATTGTGCTTCGTATAACGTTTTTCCCTATGGGCGATTTTCACATAGCGATTTTGGGACCATGCTTCGCTTAACGTTTTTGGTTTTAAGTCCCCTGCTTCACTTAACGATGTTCATTTTTTCAATTACAAAAGTGTCTTAACATGTTGAAAAATGGTTTTAAATGCTTGGAATCGTTAGTGCACCTTCTAAAATGTGTGCATACTTAATTTGGCGTTGATCTGACTTTTCGTTAATTTTTTGTGAATTTTTTTCTCCCCCATAGGAAACAATGGAGCTGTCAGATTTTGACAGCTGTCAAAAGTTGGGGGGAAAAAATTCAGCATAAATTAACGAAAAGTCAGATCAAAGCCAAATTAACTTTTGCATCCGTTTTAGAGGGTGCAGAAGCTAATCCAAGCATTTAAAACCATTTTGACCCTTTTATGACACACTTAAATTTGCAAAAACTGACTTCACAAAGCCATTGAAATGTATTGAGTCGGCTTCAATACATTCCAATGGAGGAAACATTGTATCGTTTAACAATGTTTCCTATGGGTTTTTTCGCTTAAGGACGCCAATCCGTGCCTATTGGAACGGATTAACCAGTTTCCAATGCATTCCTATGGGAAATGGTGTTTCGCATAAAGTTTTTTTTGCATAAGGTTTTTTTTTTGGGAACCAATTAAAAACGTTATGCGAGGCACCACTGTATATGATATTTACATAGCATAGTGCAATAGCAGTAGTATTATGGTAGTAATAAGGGCACACTGGATACCCAGTGTGGTATAGTGGATAAAGTGCTGGACCAAGATTTAGGAGGCCTGGGTTCGAATCCCTGCTCAGCTATGGATATTCACTGAGGGAATAAAACTGGTAAAGTCAATCCTTAAATACTGTATCTCACTTACCTTGAAAGCCAATTAGTGTTGCTATAAGTTGGTTCTGACCTGACAGCACACAACAAACTTCAGCAGGTCAAAAATGCTGCAGCCGGATTGTTAGCTGGGGCTGGTTACAGGAATCGCATAATCCCCTTTTACAGCAGCAGCACTGGCTGCTGATCTGTTTCTGGGCACAATTTAAAGTGCTGGATTTAACATATAAAGCCCTAAACAGCTTGGGTCCAGGCTATCTCAAAGACTATGGTCTTCTTTTATGAGCCTTTCCAGGTGCTAATATGATCAAAGGAGGCTCTCTCTTGGTTCCAGCATCTTCACAGATGTGTTTGGTGGGGACACAAGAGAGGGCCTTTGTCACTTTTCACAGACCCTTGAACTTCCTGGAGGCCAGGGTTTGCTGTCCTTTTGCAAGCGGATGAAGACCTCTCTCTTCAGGCAGGCTTTCCTTTGGGCTGTCTAAGTGGGATTTTACAATTGGGATATTAGTATTTTGGTTTTTTAACTGTTTCAACAATGCTTTTTAATATCATGTGTATTTCATTTATTTTTAAAAATTTGAATAATTTATTGTTTTGCTCTATCATGTCAGCTGCCTTGGGCCCTTTTATGGAGAAAGGCAGGGTAAAAATACTGTATTCTAAATAAATTAATTAATAATAACATGGGCACACTAAGTTGTAAAAACTGAGATGCATGTGTTCCAATGATATTGTTCTTGGTCATGTCACATGGAAATTTGTATCATAGGTATCTTTTGCCATAAGTGGTGAGTAGTAGAAGGTACAACACCAAAAGAAAATCTGCAGTGACGTGCAAAAGGGGGGAAAAGTC